TAGGAAAGTAAAGTTTGTATTGGCAAAAGCTTCCGGCTGATTGGCCTAAAAAAATAGAATATATTCCATTCTGCTAAAAACCAAATAGTGGGAAAAAAAGAGGAAAGCATGTATTATGCATTGTGTTCCTGCTCTACATTAAAGGGAAAATATTAAAATAAAATTTTTACTTTAAAAATTTTTTTTAACGTTTATTTATTTTGGGGACAGAGAGAGACAGAGCATGAACGGGGGAGGGGCAGAGAGAGGGAGAGACACAGAATCTGAAACAGGCTCCAGGCTCCGAGCCATCAGCCCAGAGCCCAACGCGGGGCTCGAACTCACGGACCCCGAGATCGTGACCTGAGCTGAAGTCGGACGCTCAACCGACTGAGCCACCCAGGCGCCCCTAAAATTTTTACTTTAAAAGTACAATTTTTTAAACAAAAAATGATAGGCCAGTAGTACATTTCACTTTAAAGTTTTTGCTGTACCTTCTACACTACCAATCAGTCAACTGCGCTAGCAACTTTTCTCCACCAAGAATGGCTCATTGTCAGTCTTGTCATTGATTCGAAGGCCCAGCCCACCCATCAAATGGACGGTTCTGATAGATACACTGTATACTGCATGCAGTATTCGCAAACATACCTGGCTCTGCTCTTTCTTTAGATGGCGATTAGAACTGCACATGGGGAAACGTGGGTGGCTCAGTCAGTTAAGCGTCTGACTTCAGCTCAAGTCATGATCTCAAGGTCCTTGAGTTCTGTGCTGACAGCTCAGAGCCTGGAGCCTGCTTTGGATTCTGTATCTCCCTCTCTCTCTGCCCCTCCCCGGCTCATGCTCTGTCTTTCTTTCAAAAATAAGTAAACATAAATTCTTTTTTTAAAAAAAGGCACACATGAAGTTGGAGATGTGCTGCCATAGCTCTTAGTACAAACAAAAGCATAGACTTTTTCTAGCACTCTTCCCAGTGTTGCCGTTCCAAGGCTGTTTGGCCTGCAGCATTAGGGACAATCTACGTTTTTCATCCTCAGTACACTTTGGCAGGTCTTCTTCCGGAATTGTGGCCGACGGCCAACATTCCATATGGGCAGTTTTACTGCTTTACTCCTAGAGGCATTGCGTGTGCAGACTCACTTTGGAACAATATGCTGCTTTCCTGCTGGTTTGCACTAGACTCCTGGGAGTTTCCTGTTATCCATCCTCCTGAGCTTGACTTTCCACTTCCTAGATACTTAAGGGATTTCCCGGTCTGTTTATGAATCACACGGCCCCGTTAGGGATGATTCCTGATGAGCACAACTCTTGTACGTCTCCCCTCGGGGTGCACCGATGTCTCCCTACTCCTTACTTGCATTGTTAATGCCACTTTCTCTCTCTCTCTCTCTCTCTCTCTCTCTCTCTCTCTCTCTCTCACACACACACACACACACACACACACACACACACACACACACACAGGACCCTGATCCCAAGATGAGTTTAAGTAATGGCCCTCGGTGTGGAATCTTGTCAAACGTCTTTAGAAAATCTCTCTCCCCAACCCTTTTCTTCATCCTGTTTTATCTGCTGAAAATGTTCTTTAAAAAGATCCATTTGTATTTAAGTCCTTGGTGTGTCCCCCTTTTCCATTGTGACATCATTCGTCTCCACTTACTCCTTAAATTCCTTCAAGATTTATCCACTGCTAGGGCTGAGCAAGGTCTAAATTCACCCACTATTGGTGTGCTTATGGAGATCTACATTCCTGCATACCCCCTGAATCCTTCTTTGTGACCAGGGTCACCTTTGCAATATGGCACAGTGGCTTGCATAACAATACATTCCAGTGGCCTAATTTCACCCTTGAGTTCCTGCAAAACTCTCATTGAACTGCCCTCCGCTTGGTGATTTATCTAGATTTATTGTGTCAATTTGGCAGAATAGGTCTGATACAACCACTCCTGGATGTAATAGCATTAATCTTGCATTTCCAAGAACAATACAGAACTGGCGATCTCCCTAGGATCTTCTTCATTAAAAGCTAAGGCTTAAGAATTCATCTGTGAGCTATCATCATTTCATCCTGTGGAGAACTCTCTGTTCCATCATTATCTGTGGTCTATCCTCTTTCTTGAGTTAAATTGTTCTCTCTGATTCATTGAAAGAAACTTGTATTGCTCTTGAAATCTCACATATAATGCTCCTCAATTTCTCTGCATTTTGAAGGAAACCTTATCATTGGCATTTCTCCTCTTCTTCCACATTTTGTAGATTTCCCTGTTCTCATAATTTGAACCATGTTTCAGCTTAGGAAAGGGAACTAATGATTTCCTAGAATAAATTTTTGATACTTCAAGTTATCCATGCAGTTGGGAATACAATGCACATGGAATAATTCTGAATGAGGTGGGTTTTTTTTGACAAAAGCATCGCGTTTTTATTACAGCTCACCTGCTCCCAAATTAGCAAACAACTAAATGAGTGGCCATTTGCAATTCTAGGGGCACCTATTATAAAGATTAATGGTCATTAATTAATATAAGAAATATATTGTTCACTAATTATGGGGGAGACGAAGTACAAGGCTGTAGGAATTCAACTAATTGAGAAGACATATATGGCCTCTGCCCCCAGGAATCTCACATTGTGGGGTCAAATTACATGCAGATATGTAAATAAACAAAGGTCGCTCAGGGTGATAGGTGCCAAATAGTAAGTAGAAGTGGAGGGAAGAGCATTTGCCTGCACATCCAGGGGAAAAGCTGTTTTCAGAGCAAATGGAGTGATGATATATGGAGCTGAGTCTTTGATGAACAGGTGACAGAGTCCTGGGCAAAAGGTGGTAGGAAGGTCAGGGGCATTGAACATGGGACTATGGAGTGAGGTTCAACAGAAATGGTAGCAGGGAAGACTGGAGAACACAGATAAACTTGTAATCATAGCCTGTAGGCAAATGGAAGCAATTAGAGTTTTAAATAATGAAATAATATCATCAGGGTGCCTGGGTGGCTCGGTTGATTGAGCCTCTGACTTCGGCTCAGGTCACGATCTCTCCGTCTGTGGGTTCGAGCCCCACGATGGACTCTGTGCTGCCAGCTCAGAGCCTGGAGCCTGCCTCGGATTCCATGATTCCCTCTCTCTCAGCACTGCCCCCCCCACCCCACTCGCATACTGTCTCTCTCTCTTTTCTCTCTCAAAAGTAAACATAAAAAAAAAAAATGATATGGTCGATTTTGTGATGTGAGTGTGCAAGCAGAGAGATCATTTAAGAAATTATTACAGTGTTCAAGCAAGAGCTGATAAAGCAATGACAGTTGGAATGCAAAGCAGGGAATGGCCTTAATGTACAGTTCAGACGTATATTTGAGTCCCTCACACATTTGAGGTGGTGGTGAATTAAGGAAGAGAACAAAGTCAAGGTTAACCCCTTCCCCAGAGTTCATTTTTGGGTAACTAGGTGCATGGTGAGTCTGACAACCAGAAGAGGGACTAACAACCAGAAGCAGATAGTAGTGGGTTGGTCTGAGTATTATGGGAGGGCTTTGTAAGGATAACGAGCTCTACTTTGAACACACTTAGTTTGACATGAGGTATCCAATAACTAATTACATACATCTGGTGCTTAGGCTTAGAAATATAAATGGGAGAGCAAACAGCATAGGGCTCAGTCACTTTCACATTCTGGCTGGCTGTATTTGAGGTACTATGCTAAGAATGACAGCAGCAAGGGTGAATAACGTCATCTATCTCTGGAGTCTAATAAGGAACAAAGACACAATTGTTTATTGCACCTTATTCTTCTAAAATGTCATATATACGGATCTTAGTCATATAAATGACTTATTCTATATATTAAACCCTTGTCAGTACTGACTTTACTTACGTTTAAGCCACATTATTATTTAAAATAACTCTGTTGATGGGGCTCCTGGGTGGCGCAGTCGGTTAAGCGTCCGACTTCAGCCAGGTCACGATCTCGCGGTCCGTGAGTTCGAGCCCCGCGTCGGGCTCTGGGCTGATGGCTCAGAGCCTGGAGCCTGTTTCCGATTCTGTGTCTCCCTCTCTCTCTGCCCCTCCCCCGTTCATGCTCTGTCTCTCTCTGTCCCAAAAATAAATAAATGTTGAAAAAAAATTTAAAAAAAAAATAAATAAATAAATAAAATAACTCTGTTGATCATTCTTAAGAGTAGCAACTATCAGAGAAATGAGTTACTAATGTGATACACTTTCTGATTCCAAGGATACAAGAACGAACAGTTTATCCCAGCTGCAAAATCATTTAGCTGAAATATTATACTTCTTACAGTGTGCCCTTTATATCACATTTTTGAAGGACAAGTCAGTTACACTTCCTGAATCGATGAAGATTTGGCAGCTCTAATGTCAATTTGGTAGAAGGAGCTCAAACAGAGCTCTTACTTTTGCCCCTTTAAAATATCAACTCTCTTTGTAAAGTAAGTGTATCACACAAACACAGTCAGCTTGTGGGTAGGAAATGATGGGTGAAGAAAAAAAAGGTGTGATGGAAAAATCCCCATAGTTACTCTAATAAAATTCAGGAATCCTCCTACCAAAAAAATTTTTTTTTCCTGAAACCATGTTTAATTAAATTATGGAGACTGTGGAATCATCATGCATAAAATTATTTTATGAAACCCCCAGTGAAAATCATGTTCTGTAATTGTAATCCATGGCTAAATAGTACATATCCCTCTAGCTGCCAGCTCATGCTTTGAACAAGTGACATAGACAAAGAATAACTTGAAGATTCTGCTATCTCTTGAAAAAATGAAACATTGAATAGTCAGCTTTTCAGAAACTTGTGTTCAATTGTATTCATGGTCTTTTCGAAAATGGATATGTTCACATAATGTATGCAGCTACGGTGTCCTATGATTTCTACAGAACAGAAAATGTCAAATCGCATTACTGGAAGTTCTCCAAATGACATCTTTTTTTTTTTTTTTTT